TAATCATCTTTATATCCCCTGTCCCCACTGGCAGGCTCCCACAGCCCCCCATCTGGAACCCATATACTCTGTCATCTGTATTAAGGCCCACTATGTCAACTCAGTGTCCTCAGACATTCCCCAGTGCAAGTCCATCCACTGAGGTCTAGTCAGCCTATCTAGAGTCTCTTATTTTAGGAAGATCAGCTCTTTTTCATTCAGTAATCAGCTGCCAATGTTTCCTTAGCTAAAATTGGGGTCTGCTGCTCATTGCCACAGTTCTATGCTGGGTTTTTGCCTGAGTTTGCACAGGACTTTTATATGCTGACACCATTGCCATAGAATCATATGAGCAGGGTCCCAGGAGCTCGTAGGACTCTGTTTTATGGTCCTACACCTCCTCCCTGGCTCTTAAAACCTTTCTGTTCCCTCTTCTTTGCTGGTTACTGAGCCTTGGGTGGGTGAAGTTTAATATAGGAGTCCTGTCCAAGGACCAGCATTCAGCACTCTTGATCTTTACGTTCTGGCCATTTGTGACCTTTTGTGTTCCTGTCCCTGATCTACATTAATGAGAATTGAGAGATTCATTCACGTCCTCTTCTTTACCCCTGTTCTATGCTCCAGGAGCCTTAGGTGTAGAAGTTGCATTGTAGATGTGTCACTTAGGCCTGAGCAATTCATAGGCAATGTGTGTGTGTGACCAGTTGTGTACTTGGTAATAGTCTCCAACTGGTGCAAAATAGGCTTCTTTGATTGGTGGTGACTAGGATATTTGTCTGTAAATATAAGGATACGTAGCATGAAATTACATTAGTCTAGGGATGTGACAGTCTTGGGGTTTTCTCTAAGATCTATGACCACTCCAACCATGTGTATTTGGTTATGTTTACATTACTACAGTTGAGTTTCCTCCCACTGAGTGGGCTTTTAGTCCAATTAGGTAGCTGTTGATTGCCTCCAAGATAAAAGTACCACTACTGCACCAATGTCATTTGCTGTGATGGTCATTGATGTGGTTATTAGGCCTTAATGCTGGGGTTGGATCATTGATTGATGTTCTCCCTTAGCAGCTTGCATGGTGCTCTCCAAAGCTAGGAGAAGCTTTCAGGGGAAGTGGCTTCCAGGTCATTTCCAACTTCATTGCTTCAAATCCTGTGTCTGAAGTATGTCCTGTCTTCAGCAATAGGATCTTACCTTCAAGTTCTGGGAGGCCCTCAAGGGCTGTGGCAATAGCTTGTGTAATTTTGGGAGTCTCCTGGACCACCCTGGCCAACAACTCATGGAAGGTTTCTCCTGTCTGGCACTGTTTTCTGTGGTCTCTAAGTGCTATGAGGAATATTTTATTTGTGAATTGGTGTGCATGCAAAAATGTAGATCATATTTTGGAATCTATGCAGTATTGTAAAATTCTATTATAAATAATAACGCTTGTGAAATTATTGTTATCTAACAGACATCTTAAGTGCATTTTAGCAAACTTCCATTAGGCTTTATAGGTGCTGATAAAATTTAGTGTGATGTTACATGCATCCCTTTGAGGTACATGAGAGGTATTTATACAACTCAGATAAAGAGACTGTAAATATCTGCTAGGTGATTAGAAAACCATGATGAAATTAAGCTATAAAAGATGTTAATTAGTCTGAGAAAACTAGAGAGCTAACTTCTGATCTACTTTCTCTCTTTCACTGTAATATATCATTAAAGTTTGCTTTCTCATACCTACTAGGAAAAGAATTATTTGCAAAATATCATCAAATAAGATAGGGAAAGGGAATCTGAGCCACGATCTTGGGCTGCACTTGGCAGAGTGGTGTGCTGGGTTCCACTGGGTATTGAGATATCGTATGTTATCTGTGTGTGCTATGCACCCCAAATGACCAGTAATGGTTTTAATGCTAGCTGAATGTTAAAATCTCTTAGGGAGCTTCCAATAAGCAGTTGCTCAGTGAGAGTCTCTCAGGGTATGGCTCATATCTCTGTAGATTTTTTTAATGACCTTCCTACTCCACTGATCTTAATGCTCAATAACTAATAATCATTAGAAACCCTGTGTTTTCATGCATTGTAAGTGCTGACCTTGGCATGGTACTCAAGTGACCTGTGCTTGGGTGCTTTGTATCTAATGCCCAGGTGTAGAAAAGAAGCTAAAGCAGAAGCTATAGGAAACTACCATACATACCTTGACCATATTGAGTAATTAATTCACATTCTAGGATGAAAAAGGTTACAAGGCTTAGTTCTCTTTATTTCCTTCAAAAATTCAAATTACTAAGAGATATGTTTTATTCTTAAACAGGAGTATGGATCAGGTCAGTCAGAAAGAAAAGGGTTAAAAACTTACAGGCCTATGTTGTTCAAAGCTGTGCCTTGGTATCTCCAAGAAACCTTGCTCCCAGTTTAGTGCAAAATGACTCTGGAGTGACGATATCTTGCAGTCAGAGAGAAGAATCCATCTCTCTTGGTGTCTGGGTGCTCTTTTATTTTCCTGTTATTAATACATTTATTGTTTATTTTTTAATTCAAACACACTGATGCATGCTTAACATACTCAGAGAGTGGCCGCTCAGACCCTCCTCACACTTCATTACTGTGCTAACAAGCACTCCATAGTTCACAAGTGAGACATGTGGAAGTTGAAATACAATCATGGTGCAAATATTTGTTGGCAATAGTGTCTACATGCCATCTGTCCTTGCTAGTTTTGTCTTCTTCATGTCTCTATACTCAGCAGCTTCTTCATAATAAGCTCTTAATAAATGAATGGGACATATTGGAGTTTTTTTTTTTTTCTAGACAGAACCCCTATCTCTTAAAACTGCATCCTGAAGGATCTATTTTTTGGTTGCAAATGTACATTTTGGTTCTACATGGATATGCTATTGTGTGGCTTTATCTTTGTCTTTTTGGTTGTGAACCTGAGCCTTTAAGGGCTGTCCTGTCTCTCCAGCCCAGCTTTATTTTATTCTTGAGGGCATATCTGGAGTGATTTCCCACATTGGTATTAAATCATTTCCCTCAGTTTTCATTCTCTGAAGAGGAATCTGTGAATACCCATGTATGATAGTTATATCCCTCTGTTGATTGGCTTTTTTTTTTTTTGCTATTGCAGCTCATGTTCAAATCATTCTCTATTGTAAATCAAAAGACACTTATGATATTAAATGCACACTTAATTATTTCATCTGCTGCCAGACTGCCCTCGCAGAAAGCTTGAGGAGGTTTCTATCACCCAAATAGTACATGATAATGCCAACCCATTTCCCAGGTGTGGGTACCCTGAAACAACTTCTTTTGTTAAACCACATACAATATTTCAATCGAAATGATGCATAATGTAATCTATACAATACACCAAGTAACTGTTTTTATTAAACCTCATTTTAAGAGTTAAGTATCCTTTTTTTTTTTTTTTGGTTTTTTTGAGACAGGGTCTCCCTGTAGTCCCAGCTGGCAGCTGGCCTGGAACTCATTATGTAGACCAGGCTGGCCTTGAATTCATAGAGATCCACCTGCCTCTGCCTCCCAAGTGCTGGGATTAAAGGCATGTGCCACCACGCCCTACCTAAGTATCCAATTTTTTATGTGTCATAATTTATACAACTTATTCTGTTATTGAATATGTAATATATTTCTAATTCCTCATATAATCATATAGCAGTGATAATCCTTTTATATGTAGGTTTTTCTTCTCTTTATGAATAATTTATTAAAGTGAATTATTTCTGAGTCAAAGGTTTTTTAACTCTTTTTATGACTTTTGATCAGAATTGTTAGGTGATTTTAGATATCTTAGTGTTCTGGGTTTAGTCACTGATTATATATGAATTTTAAAGCATCATGTTGTATGGGATAAATATGCACCACTTGTATTTGCTAATCTGAATAATGAATAAATGAATTAATTGATTTACAAAAGTGGTATATCAATTTTATTATCATCAAGAGATTATTACCTTAACAGATTTGACTACCTTTCTGAAATAAAGTACTTATAAATTTGAATTTAAAGAATCCATGTTTACTTTTATAAATTTATAGTTTGTAGACATTATATACATAAAGAATGGTGAGCTATAGATGTATTTTTCCATTAAAATATCTTTTTTCATGCCATCAAATCAATAAGATAGAGACTGGAATATAATTATATATTTAAATTATGTTTATATACTTAAAGAGTTTTACATATTTCCATAGTTGATAGTTTTAATTTTCATCCTTTTAAAATATATTTTTATTTATTCATGGAGAATTTCATACATGCATACAGTATATTTTCGTCATATTCAACCCTGACCCTCTAACTCCTCCTGGATTACCGTCCCTGTTCCCCTCCCAAATCATGTCCTCTTTTTTTCTCCTCTTCCCCTTCCTCACCCCCCTTCCCTTTCTCTCTCCCCTCCCAGTCCCTCCCCTCCCCCTCTATAACCCACTGAGTCTGATTAGTGTTAACCATATGCACGTGGGTGTGGGGCCATCCACTGGAACATGGCCAACCCACCAGGGACCACACCCCTAAAGAAAACCAACTCTCCCTCTCTAGCAGCCATCAACTGTCAGTGGCTCCTCAGCTAGAGGTTGGGGCTTATGAGTCCCTACAGCCTACATCCTGGGGTGTTGACTGGCTTGATTTGTGCAATCCTGTGCAGGAAGCCACGACTGCTGCAAATTCATGAGCACAACAGTCCTATCATAACCAGAAGACACTGCTTCATCCCAGACCTTCCTGACTGGCTCTTACAATTTTTCTGACTCTCTTCCTCCATGTTCCCTGAGTCTTGGGGGAAGGGTATATAATACAGATATCTCATCTTTGGCTAAACACTCCACAGATACTTCTTTTCTGCACTTTGACCAGTTGTGAATCTCTAATAACTGCCATTCCCTGTTTATTATATCAAATATATTATAAATTTTATTATTATACCTTGTTTTTCTTTATTAATTACAGCGTGTTACACTAAGACTGAAAGTCCTCTACATATAATTCAGGTCAAAAGATTTGCCTTTTTTTTTAGGAAATTTACCAGTGGTGTGGTTCCTCCTGCAACAAATACGAGCGTCTGAAAGCAAGCCAGGTTGCCAATGGCATTCGAGACAATGAAAGGAAGGGAAGATCTCGAGTCACTGTGGTGGAAGAAGGAAGTGAACCTTCAGAGCTTTTAGAGGTATTGTGGCTTGTATTGTTTGCTGAAAGGTTACCACTCTGAGTCCTACATGTGGGTGTGTGCCTGCATGGTGGGGAGTGAGGGAAGAGGGATTGAACACATTTTTTAATTGGGAGGCTGGGGTAAGCTCAGCTAAGAGGAAGTATAGGGGTTGTATGAGTCATGGGATTATGAAAATTCAAAATCATGCCTATTTTATCTCATGATATCTTGGCCCTTATCTTTCTTTTTCTTTTTTTGTGTATTGGGATTGAGCCCAGGGCCTTGAGTATGCCAGGCATGTGTTCTACCACTGAGCTCACAGCCACACTTCTTTTAATTGATTATAAGAATATATTTTGGAGCCTGGTAGTGGTGCACACCTTTAATCCCAGCACTCGGGAGGCAGAGGCAGGTAGATCTTTGTGAGTTCTAGGCCAGCCTGGTCTACATAGTGGGTTCCAGGACAGCTGGGGCTACAGGGAGATCCTGTCTCAAAAAGATAAAAAAAAATAAAAAAGAAGAAGAATATATTTTGGAAGGAAGAAAATAGTTTATCTAGATTTAATGTTCTTTAAAGTGCACTGATTTTCTTCACTTTAAAATTTAACAATTACTTCATTAAAGAATGAATTTTTTTATTTATTATTTTATGTGTGTTGCCCACATGTATATGTATGTAAGTGTGCTTGTGTCATGCAATACCTGGGGAGGTCAGAAGAGGGCACTGGATTAACTGGAACTGGAGTTATGAATGGGTTGTTTGCTGCCACATGGGTTCTGGGAATTAAACCCAGGTCCTCTGCAAGAGCAGTCAGCGATCTTAACTGCTGAGCCTTTGCTCCAGCCCCAAGAATGAAAATCTTATAGCAAAATATTAAATGTGCAAATATTTTATTTATTTGAATCAAGCTAAGAAGCTTGTCTTATAGATAAGACATTTATGATTTTATTATAGTTTTAAAGTTAATATGGAAACTAAATCTCCATAGCTCTATAGAACTAATCCTTTACTTAACTATTATATTAATCTTTGACCATTAGTTGTAACTAATCTTTCCCCTTTACAGTGACATCCTTAGTACATATATTATGTATATTTCCTAATGGAAAATTGTCAATTAAAGGATATAGTTGTATTCAAATATCTTGATATATATTGGCACATTTATTCCCATTTTTCACTGAGTATTTGTTGAGCTCCTGCTCAACAATATGTGTTGGGTACAACATATTTGCACCAAATGTTACTTCTTTTCACAAGCACTGTATATTCCATTATTACCTTCCAGAGCTCTGTCAGGATTTGCCTTTTTGAATCTTCTGCATGTAATGGTTTGCTTTCTATTGCTGAGATAACACACTCTTATCAAAACCAGCTTGGGGAGAAAGGTTCATTGCATCTTACGCTTCCAAGTGATTGTCCATCTTTGAGGGAAGTCAAGTAGGAACCCAGGACAGGAACTTGGAGACAAGAGCTGAGGCAGAGACCATGGAGGAATGCTACTTACAGGCTTGCTCCTCTGGCCTGTGTTCAGCCTGCTTTCCTTTCCTTTTTGTGACAGAGTCTCCCTGTAGCCCCAGCTGGCCTAGAACTTGCTATGTAGACCAGGCTGGACTTGAACTTCAGAGATCTGCCTGCCTCTGCCTCCCAAATGCTGGGACTAAAGGTGTGTGTCATCACACCTGGCCTTCAGCCTGCCTTCTTATACAACCCAGACCCATCTGCCCAAGGGTAGCACCACCTACAGTGGGCTGGGCTCTTTCATGTCACTCAACAATCAAGAAAATGCCCCAGACATGCCCACAGGTCAATCTGATAGAAGGAATTCTCCAATTGCGGTCCCTCTTTCCAGGTGTGTCAAGTTGACAACTGAAGCCCACCAAGGCACTAGCTGTAAGTGGAATTTTCTTTTTTCCAATATCATGGAATATTACATATTTACTCACAGTTATTTTTGCAATTTCCATTTAAAAATTTAAAAGTCTATCTTGGAAGTATGCTTTAATATGCTCAGGTAAGGGCAATTTTGTGCATTGGTTACATGATCCAATGAAAACTTAAAATTCCAGTGATCAAAATATGAGAGGGATGGAGAGACATCTCAGCAGCTAAGAGCACTGGCTGCTCTTGCAGAGGACCTGGGTTCGGTTCCTAGCACCCACATGGTGACTTACAACCACCTGTAACTCCAATTCCAGGGGATTCTATGCTGTCTTCTGGCCTCCATGGGTATTATATGTATGGGTGCACTTATATATATGAAGGCAAACAATCATAATACATAAAAATTATAAAATGATTTTTAAAAACATGTGAAGGCCTATGTCTGTGTCTCAGTGGTAGAGCACATGAGGTGCTAGGTTTAATCCCAAATCCTGCTGTGCTGGATAGCTTTAGTGTTAACTTGGCACACCTGGGTAGAGGGAGCCTCAATTGGGGAATTGCCTTTATTGGACTGGCCTGTGGCCATGTCTGAAGGGCATCTTCTTGATGAGTGATGTGGGAGAGCCCAGCCCACTGTGGGTGGTGCCATCCCTGGGCAGGTGAGCCTGTGTTACATAAGAAAGCAGGCTGAGCAGGGGCCAGGGGGGCAAGCTAGTAAGTAGTGTTCCTCCATGGCCTGTGCTCCAGCTCCTGCCTCCAGGTTTATGCCCTGAGTTCCTGCCTTGGGCTCCCTGATGAACTGTGACCTGGGAGATGTGAGACAAATAAACCCCTTCCTCCCCAAGTTGGTAGTGGTCAGAGTATTTTGTCACAGCAATGAAGAACAAACTAAGACACCTGCCAAAAAGAAAAAATGTGCTAGTTTTATTACTTAGAATTTCTTTGTTTTATTTTCATAGTAGCTCTCAAACATATACTTTTACATTAATGATGTTTTGAATACTTTTCAATTCAGAGGGGAAAAAACTCATGGTGTAATAAGAAAAGACAGAACAAAAAATTTATATTCAGTATCTTAATATGTAAGTTTGTGTGTATATAGTAATCTACTCAGACATATATATATGTATATATATATATCTGGAAAGAAATAGGTCAAAATGTTACAAATATTAATTTTCAAATTACTTGATTATTATTATATTTTTACGTATATACATGTGCCATGAAGTGCATGTGGACGTCAGAAAACATCTTTGTCGAGTCAGTTCTTTCCTTCCATATTTATGTGGGTTCTGGGGGTTGAACTCAGGCTGCCAGGCTTGGGGCATGCACTTTTACCCACTGAGCCAACTCCGGGCATGCTGATGTTTGTTACTTTGGTCTTCATTCCTCCTTGTAGTTTCAAAATGTATTATAATGAACATATATAGTATCCCTTTTATAATCAGAAAAAAGTAAAGTAAAATTAAAATAGATCTGAATTTTCAGTACTTCACTGAACTTCACTGTTAATAAATCAGACTCTGAAAAAAACATTCAAATAATTTCTTGATTCTTGATTTTCAGGGCCTCTATTAGAGTCGAGATGTGACTAACCATTTACATCTTTAACTTTTATATGCAAGGAACAATTCATGTAAGGTGTATTTCTAATGGGTCGTAGCTCCTAACTTCATTAACCACATAGATGTTCCTTGTTATCCACAGCTTATCCATTCTGAGATCCAGGATGGATACATGAAAACACACAGTATCCAGCCACACATATACTGTATTTTTTTGCTGTTATTTTTTTTCTGATACATACTTAATAAACTTATATTTACAAATTACTTCCAGGAAGAAATTAACAGGAACTAATAATAAAAAAGAGAAATTTATCACAATACATGGTAACAAAAGTTACATTTTTGTGGCCTCTTCCAGAATATGGAATGTTCCATATAATGTTTTTGGATAGTAAACAGCCTCAGGTACTTGGCTGGCAGAAAGCAAGAGCAGGGACCAAGGGGCTCTGAAAGACAGGGCTGGGAACAGGACTCTCACTCTGTTCTCAAAGACCTTGTCCCTGTGGTTTCCCCTCGTTACCCTGAGCCCAGGACAAGTGTAACTTGCCTTGTCTCTGTTTCTCACTTGTAAACAGAAAGTTCAAAGTGGCTTCAGGGACTCCTGGAGGTCAGAAAGATCTGAGATTACTCCTGTCTCAGACAGCTCTCCCCTCACTGGTAATTTCTATTCACTAGCTATTCTGAGCAAAGTTCCTATAACAGGGTCATGGCAGTGGATGCCCACACTTGGGATACTTGCTTATTGGATTCCATTCCACTATCTGAAAAAGAAAATTTAAACAAATATTATACTGTACTGATAAAATATGATAATGCAAAGCAAAGGGAAAAAACTTAAAAGTACAGCCTTAACTTTGAAATACTAGAGAGAGTAGTAAAGAGACCCAATCCTTATTTAAGTTTATTATTTATTTATTTATTTATTTATTTATTTATTTATTTATTGAGACAGGGTCTTGCTATGTGCTTCTGGTTGGCCTTGAACTCAGAGAGAGCTGCCTCTTGAGTGTTGGGATTAAATGCATGTGCACCATGTTCAGCTGGAGACTGATTCTTAAGATGCTCTGTCTGCATTTCAGGGATTCTTATTTAGGGTTTTAAAAAAGTTCCTAAAAAGCATTCACCGTTTCCACTTGATATGCTCAGTGTCCGCCCTGCACTCTGTCCTCACAGCTCTTACTCATACAGTGAGCTGAAATGAACTTTCTGTGGGTGCCTTCCTTAAGTAAGGAAAGGAAGCTCCTGGTGGGCTTTCTGACACAAATGCTTTGCAGCCCAGTTACAGGCATGAGTATCTGATAGACTAAGTGTGCACCTGTGACAAGCTCATTCAACTGCTAGGATTTCTGAGAGGAAATCTGTGAGGAAAGAACTCAAAAAATCCTTAACTTGGTTGGGACGATTACAATTTTATTTTCATACACTTGTTCATGTGACATTTCCTCAAATTGTGACAAACCAGAGTAGCAGAAACAGTTGCCGTGACTATTCAGACCACAGTTTAGTTATTGTGGATAACCTCAAACTATTGCTTTGATTCATTACTACCCAGCAATGATCAT